ATATATATCACATCAACTTCACCCCTTTCTCATGGATCAAGCGCATCAAGTGAAGATTACAGGGTTGCGGTCGTAATGATGTTCTAAAAGTTTTAGTTTTAGTTATGCGCCTCAGCAAGTGTTTTTTTTAAAAATTCATTTATCCAGTGATACATTGATTTCAAAAATTAATAATAGATATGCACGGATTACAAAAATTAATTAAGTATTCACACGCTTTTTGGATTAATTGTAATTATCTTGCAAAAAAAAAACTATGTCGAATATATAAATTTGGATCTTTCAGTGCTAATTTTATACTTCAGTACTTATAGTATGTACGAAATTAAACAGTAGTAAAACATTGTATAATTTCTTGGGATTTTCAAAGTCTGTACGTAAAAAAATCGAGAAATAGCGTATTTTTTTTCTTTTTATTTATTAACTGCATGGCTGTTTTTGTTTTGTAGATTAATGTAAGACTTGTATTTTTCCCGTTAACGAAAGATCTAAAACAAATCCAAGAAAGATCATAAAAAAAATTCTATGAAAATAATTTGTTTGGATAAAAAGTAAAAATATTGATAAAGCTCAAAGCAAGCGTATATATATATATATATATGTATATATAATTTCTTATTTCTTGTGGACAAGTTTTTTTTTTTTTATGTTCCCGATGACATGTGAAAGAGAAAAATATCGTCATCATTTGTGTGTTATTGATTAAACGCTTCTATAGCCATATATAGATTTTTTGTAGAATTGCCCACGTATGATAAGCAAGGGTGACTGTAGGTACTGGAAAAAATTAAGTAGGTACACGATGGGGCTTGACACGAAGTGAGACTCTGCCATATCGTCCAAATGCACATGCACATTATGCCGAGGAAGAGGCTTTGGCTGATTCCCGTCTCGTGTGTACCTACCATGTATAAGTACTTACCTGGCAAAAGTGTATACCTACACGCATTCCCTCTCATCTGCCACCATGTGATTCTCCTTTATTCCATTTATTTTTCTCTGTTTTTGCTGCTTGGTACACGTTCTCGCCCTAATACATGCATCAGGAGAAAAACCGTCGGTAACGCACCCGTAATCTTGTTATATATATATTGGGGTAGAGCAGAAAGAAAGAGAGGAATCGAAGTTGTATAATGATACTGGGACATTATATATGTTATGGGCGGAGTTTTAGGTATGCATCATATAAGAATGTACGGTAGCTGTTATTGTTGTGCTGCGGTTTTTTAGCGCCCAAAAACATGTACTTATGTGCAATGCGTTGTAAGTATATAATATTGTTGTATCGGTAATTATAATACAATACGCACAAAGTTGGTAAGGAATCGACTTTTTTGATCCTGAAATCATTTCATCGTATAGTCATCACCATGAAATTACATTGAATACACATTTGCATTTTACATTGTTCGGCGGTAAACGAGGAATTGACCGTAAAAGTAAGTACATTGTCCGGATGATTGGCCAACAAACAATAAACTATTCAACTTGATAAAAAAAATCCTTACAGCCCATTAATGTTTTCGTCTTTCCGTCCATTTCAATTATGGGGACAGTATAAATGTTGGGACGTCAATTTAATGGAAAAATGTGTGTATTCTGATCTGTATGAGTATAAGGGTAAGTAAATGAATAAAAATCATTTGGCAATATACAATTAATCAATACCACTGCGCAAAAGTGGCGTATAGTTTCCCACCATCACTAATATAAGTATCGAGTTCTGCAATCGTAACAAAGAATTGTCAGTGCAGGAAGACGAGAGAAAGAATTATTGCGGCGCGCGAAATCCTATACCCTACCTATACGTCGCGTCGCTCGTTCACCGTCCTCCAGCTCCAGTTGTCGGCTACCGTCTACTCCAGAAATCTGAAGTTTTCTCTCTTTTCCTACGTGGCTCTGTTATACTTACACCCGTGTCATGGACATAGCCCGATCCAGGGCCCTTCTTCGAACCGTGGGACTCGACCGAACGAACCCCGACGATTATATGCGTGCACGCATGGAAAAAAAAAAAAAAAAATTACTAGATCTCTTTCTTCCTTCTTTTCTCTTACTCTCACCCCTCTCGAGAACTTTGGTGATGGCGTGTGCGTGCACGGATGAATGGAAAACAGGATTTACTTCAGTCTGCTCTTTGTGGACTATACCTAATATATAAGTTATACCTATACATGGATGTACGGGGGTTGCGGTTGCCTGCACGTAATATATTATATATGTTACATGAGCGCGCGCAGTATTCCATCGGCTTTAAATAACATATGCCATGTGTGTGTGGTTATACGATGCTTTATTTAATTAAATTACATGTTAGGTATATAATGAGTTCTTTTTGATTATTCACTTCAAGATTTCATATACGCGATGACACAACATATTGTATGCGAATGGCTCTAAAATTATCTACTTTCTAATAAAATTATCACTTTGGTTTCTCCTTTAGTTATTTACATCTATACCTATACCCACTTTGCGTGCTCGTCATTGAATTTTTTTGTTTCCTCGATGGTATTTTTCTCTCTCTCTCGTTGCTAATTTTTCACAGATTCGCGTTGAAGAATTATTGCGTGTGCCGCGAAATTTGGCACCATCAATAACCCAGCGAAGAAGAATAAAGGAGGGGCTACACTAGCATATTATAAATAAAATAAAACTTGAGTAAAAAACCAGCTGAAGCATTTATTTTTACGTATTATATATATATATATAGGTACATTATTACATTTGAACATTCGCTGCACATCAGGAGTATAATAATACACACATGCGTTGGTACAAGTTTCGTCATCTTACGCTAGAGGAAATTTTGCACCCCCATGCTCCGGCCCTCCTTATCTACCCCGTACAACACGTTGTGTGCAGTTCCAGCGTACATGGGGGTTAAAAAACAAAAAAAAAAGTTTGAAAAATAATCGAAAAGGCCGTTTACTTAGAAAGGTGCAAGGAACCTTCGCACGATTGACCCAGTTTGGCGCATAAAGAACGCATGCACACATTGCAGGGAGGGGCGAGAGAAGGGGTCGCGTAAAAGCAAGGAGAGGAGGAGGCGGGCCTAATGAGACCTGCGAAACTTCCCGAGGGTTGTTGGTTCTCTCCAAAGCCTCCATGGACGTGTACCTTATACATCCCCCTTGGAGCTCGGCTCAGCTTGCACCGTGTATATATATATATATATATATATATAGTACAGGAACAGCGGGGCAAATCGAACGCGCATACACGTAGGTATACCCTAATCTAATCGCGCCCCACATGTGTATAGGTGTACCGGCGAATAAAGAGACTTTATTTCCCTGACCCTATATAAGTACATTGCACGTCGATGACACACAAAGGATTTGGCTCGAGCACGCACCATCATCCCGTGGGGATAATATATCTATCTCTCAGTGCATTGTGCGTATATTATAATATATATAATACTCCACACGCGGAGGGCACGGCAGCAACGTTTTTCGGTGCGCGGCCTTGAAATGTTGGGCTCCTCGTGCCAAGGGCAGACAAAATTCCGTACGCATCGAATGATCCCTCCCTAAAAGTTTTGCTCTCTCTCTCTCTCTCTCTTTTTTATTTCGTAACGTGCTTTTGGGGGAGAAAAAAATAGAGAGAGAGACAGGGATGCAAGCCGATCTCCCCGACTCGACGCGGCTGTTCTTTGTTGCTCGGTATAGAATAACCCATAGTATACGCTTATAAAATCCATATAGTCACCGTTATCCATGTTTCTACCCCAGCATGCAGTTAGTTCTGAGTTCTGAGTCGTATTGTATAATTATACTCAAGTAAGTATTTTGGGGCTGCACACTTGCTCTACTTCCTTCTCCTTAATTCCTTGTGTTATACGTATAATTATTATATATTTACCCACCTACGTGTTTCCAAGGATTTTTCCGGCCTTTCGCTCCATTATTTTTATCATTTTGTTGATCTTATGACGTAAGATGTTTCTTTCTTTCCTTTTCTTTTTCCATTTTCGTTACATATGGATTAAAAGCAAACTGCAGACATGCCATCCTATCTATTGTTTCCTCCATATATATATATATATATATATATATACGCGAAATCCCGCAGTCAACAAGTTACAGGGGGGTGTGGACAACGAAGAGGCTACTCCACACAGGATTTTATAAATATATACCCAAAGGATGTGTAATCGCTATTGAATTTATATGACATTATTTATAAAGCTATTAGGGAGAGCGGAAATGAAGTGCCTCTTTGTGAATTTTCTACGATTCCCAGTAGGTTTCTGGGTCGATCGTACATGTATTTGAACAGTTCCTTCGAGATGCACCATGCACGTGATGTTTTTTACGCATGTGTAGTATAGCCGATTCGAATCGCACGGCGTATTACACAGTGAGCAATACGAAATACTCTAAAACGCGCTATTACTTTTTATTAATGAATAGTTGGCGAGATTTATAACGCATAGAAAAATGTATGTTCCAAGTCCCGTAAGGATAATAATAACATTTGAAACTTATATTGGCTTCGGTTTATTATTTTTTTCTATTCCATTAAATTTATTATCGGGCACCACACTTATCAAATAAAAGTATAATCGAGCATGCTGCATCTTTTCAGAAAAAAAGTCAACCTTTGCGTAACAAAATATGTAAAAAAAGTCTCGCGTGAGGTATTGGAAAAGAAAAAAAAAAAAAAAAAAAAAAAAAAAAGTGAAATTATTTCTATTTTTGTAAAAATAAACACACTCACGCGTCATTGAAAAAGGGGTACTTATTGCGGACGGACAAATTGCGTTTGTTGTCGAGCGAGTGAGGAGTAAGTACAGAAGCGAGGAAGGAAGAAACGAGTTTTCAGAAAACGGCGAAACATC